CAAGGTCATTGTTTCCCTCTTCTTGCAATCCAGCACCGACTGGCTCTTTTCCAATCTTCAGGCACCTCATCCACCCACTGCCCTCAAAAATAACTGCTTAATGGGTCTCCAGTAACTCCACCCAACTCCTTAAGGGCTCCTGAGAGCAGATCGTCTGGGAGAGCCAAGAGAACTCATCCAACTTTTAAAAGGGATCTTTGATCATCTCTTTCCTTGCCTCCATCTTCCCATACGCTCTAAGTTGACTGGTCTGCTTCACCTCACACAGAGCTCTCTCAACCAAGAACACACTTTGAGGGGCTTCCCTGGTGGCGTAGTGGTTAAGAATCCGCCTGCCAATGCAGGAGACACGGGTTCGAGGCCTGGTCCGGGAAGATCCCACATGCTGTGGAGCAACTAAGCCCATGCACCACAACTACTGAGCCTGCACTCTAGAGGCTGCGAGCCACAACTACTGAGCCCGTGTGCTACAACTACTGAGCCTGCATGCCGCAACTGCAAAGGCCTGTGCGCCTAGAGCCCGTGCTCCGCAACAAGAAGCCACTGTAATGAGAAGCCTTCACACCACAACGAAGACACAATGCAGCCAAAAAAAAAAAAAAGAATACACCTTGCGAGCAATCAGTTCTGGATATAGAGTGCAAAAGTTGGGAGGGAAGGGGGGGATATCTGAAGCCAGAAGATTCAGACACACAGCTTCAGATCAGAACTCCTTTCCTGCATTCAGCTCATGACTACTGACTTCACCTGGTTGCCATGGAAACATCAGTCTCTCTTGGCGGCAAGCAGCACTTTAGAAAGCTTCACAGGCTACCATGGTAACACCAAAAAGAGTAAAGCTGCCTCCTCTTTTCGAGCGGTGAGGAAGAAATGGACAAGACTGCTAGGAAAAGCAGGCTAGAAGGGACAGCCTCTGGAAGGCCTGGCTCTGACTTGAACTGAGGGGAATTAATTCAACTCAACAGGTACGAAATATGTACAAACAAAACAGTAATGAATGGGCTTCCCTGGTGGCGCAGGGTTGAGAGTCCGCCTGCCGATGCAGGGGATGCGGGTTCGTGCCCCGGTCCGGGAAGATCCCACATGCTGCGGAGCGGCTGGGCCCGTGAGCCATGGCCGCTGAGCCTGCGCGTCCGGAGCCTGTGCTCTGCAATGGGAGAGGCCACAACAGTGAGAGGCCCGCGTACCGCCAAAAAAAAAAAACAGTAATGAAAAAGACACATCTATGACTGGCTTCATCAAGCTATAAGCATCTAGTAACAGAGTTTACAAAGAATTGTAAATAAAGTCAGAATAAGACCTACATAGGACCAAGAATACTGAAAAGGAAAATCAACTTCAACTAGGAAATCATCAGTCTTAAAGGACAGGATTTTGACCAGCAGAGAGGGGCAGGAAGAGAGAACAAGACAGTAGACATGGAAGTGGAAGAATTCAGGATATACTGAGAACTATGAGTAGAGAGACAGAAAAAGTGACACTTCCCCATGACTCCAAGGCTTTGGCTTCCACAGTGATGCTGAGGCAGGTTAAGATTAAGATCAAGGGATCTGAAGCTAGACTGGACTGAAATCCCAAACTTGCTAACTGCATAATCGGGGGACAAGTTAGTTAACCTTTTGGGTATCAGTTTCCTCATTAACAAAGTAAAGATAATAAAAGAATCTACTTCAGAGGAGTCGTTGTGAGGATTAAACAATTCAATACATATAAAATGATTAGAACAATGCCTAACCCACACCAAATCCTGCATAAATGTAAATTCTCATTAATTGTTAACCACCCCACTCTTTGGTGCCAGGATAGCCTCTTCGCACTGTCCAAGTAATACTGCCCCCTGCTTTTTTTTTTTCCAGTTGCAGCATGCAAGCTTCTTGGTTGCGGCATGCATGCAGGATCTAGTTCCCTGACCAGGGATCGAACCTGGGCCCCCCTGCATTGGGAGCGTGGAGTCTTACCCACTGGACCACCAGGAAAATCCCCGTCCAAATAATACTTCCTGATTCGCACCAGACTCTTTAATAGAAAACAGGGGCTGTGACAGAATACCTACAAGTTTTTAGCTCATTTCCCTTCTTTATAAGCACCAAGACTAAAGGTTCATAGGTCACAGCCCTGCTTCCACTGGTAGCCCAAAGAGCCTAAGAAAGAAGTAGGGTGAATCCCAATGTAAAGAACACAGCAGTTTAAAGAACAGGGAGGAATGCCACTGCCTTAGAAAAGAGAGAAGTGGATGCTATAAGCCGAAAGTCAGGTGAAAAATCCCATTTAGAATTGAGGACTAGTGGGGAAATTCTAACTGCGCTGGGAACAGACCTGGGCAACAGTCTCATCTCTACTCCCACCTTAGCCACCGTGCTCAGGCAGGAGGTTGAGGGAGGCTCCTTTACATTAGGCTGGGCCCAGAGGCTGTTCACTGCCCCTTCTCTCCACTCCAACCACCCTCTATAGAGGGATGAGTAATAAGAAGGCACTGAGTCACACGCAGTGACACTGGCTGTTACCCACTAGACGTTGTCACCTTATGTAGGTTAAGACTAGAACAGAAGTTGTCTTCGACATTCCCTTACTTCCACCCTTGTCTCTCTCCCAGCAAAAAGCTACGCAAGGCTCTAAGAACAAGGAGCAAGGAAGAACTGAGGTGGAAGGACCCAAAATGCAGGAAGGCCAAAGCAGCTGGGAATGGGAGTGTAAGGAAACTGAGCAGTGGTGGGGGCCCACCTGAGGGCAAGAAGCAAGGCCTGGGGGTACCTACAGTTTGAAGATGTTCAAGACTGCCATGAGGAGGCCTGGCCCATAGCCTCAGGAGGATGCATAAAAATGGTCTGCACTGAGGTCAGGATGCCTTAGCAGCCGCATCAATAACTGCAAGGGACTGGGCCTTAGCCAGCTGCTCCTACCTAAAAATAACGTGGCCTCCTTACCTTCTCCCAGGTCCAGAGAGCAAATTAGTACAGGGAAGGGGTAGGGGTGACAGTGGGTGAGACTGCAGCAGCCTGGAAGTCCCTCCAGAGTCCCAGTGGCCTTTTATGCCACAAGTAGGTTTCAGGTACTTAACACTGTGCAGTGTAAAGAGCAACGTCATAAGCTAACCACTAAAAAACCATCATTCTGCTTAGAAGCCTTAACTGACAAGTTAAAACCTAGCAGCAATTATCCACATTTTTAGCATGACAATAAACTCTCAACATTCTGTTGCACAGAGACCAGTAAAGAATGGAGGAAGCCCACAGAGCCCTGTCCCTGAACTTCAGACCTTCTCCTTTTGGTTGGTCCCTAGTTGGTGAGCCAGGCTCTGGGCTAGCCCTTGTCCTAAGCCTTACAAAGCAGGCAGAGGAAGGTGTGCCCTCACCTTTGGAAGGGCCATGTGTGGAATACTCAGCTCCCCGGAAATTCATCAATCGGACTCAGGCCTGTGTTATCAGAGCCATACGGAAAGAAAAGTTGGGGGGACTGAAAGGGCAAACAATTGCAGACTTAAGGCCTGGGGAGCCCTGATGTATAATGCCCAAACCCCTTTGGATATTGGACTGGATGTCTACTACAAAAGGTCCAAAGGCGGGTACAGAGATCAACAAGGTAAGAATGGTGAGCTTAGAAGGCTTCTCTGGTACTTAAGCTCCTCAGGATCACGAAACCCCCTTAGAGCAAGGTGCAGAATGTGCTACCGTCACACTGCCATCTGGTGGAAAGACAAGATCTGTCCCCAGGGAGAGAGAGGGAGCCCGGAGGTCTGTCCACTAGGCAGGGAGGTTTGGAGATAATCAAGATAAAGACAGGAAGAGACCACGGGGCATAAAGACCACGGGAGTATAAAGCAGATACAGATGGCGTGTGTGCCTTTTGTCTGTTTTTCTTTCTAAAGATCAGATTTTTAAAAAATTAAAATAAAGGAAAGAAAACTTAATGTCATTACAAATGTTTTATATTCCTAGAACCATTCGTGGTTTTGGCTCAGGAGAAGTTAACGTCAGACAGACACACCACTGGACTGAGACCACACATGGGCAGCCGCCGCCACAACCGTGGGACCTGCCTTTTGTACAAAGTTTATATATATATATATTTATATTTATGTACACAGACACAAGGGTATAAAATACAGTAAGAAGGACTCATGTGTGCCCAGCTGGGCTTGAGCCCACAGTCTCCAGAGGCACACGGAAGTGGTGGAGAGAAGCAGCCTCCCCTCCATCCTCCCACCCTGGGCCAAAGGAAGGACAACTACACAAAGGAAGATGGAAGATACCAGAAAGGTACCCCACCTTTCACTGAACTCCCGAATGCCCCTAAGACATCCAAAATGGCTGGCAGGAGAGATCATTCCCACACCTCCCAGCAAGATGTTGAGCCCACAGTAGCAGTTCTGGCCCCAAGCTAAGGTTTAAGGCAGGCTTCTCAACGCACATGTCTGTGCTATCTTCCAGGGCCCTTGTAGCAGCAAGCCAGCACTTTCAAGGTTCACTCCCTCAAACCCCAAAGTCCTCACAGACCAGAGGTCTTAAAGGTTTTCCGTGACAGACTGTACGGTAAAGGTACAGGCAGCGGTTAGTTCCTTCAGTTAATGCCCTTCCCAATGGGGGAGGAATCAAGGAATCAGTAAGAGGTGGTTGGAAAGGGCAGGGAAGGTCATCCCAGGAGATGATAAATACAGAGAAACAGATGTTCAATTCAAGTGCAAATTCTGTTCTCTTCAACTGGCAGCTTTGCTCACCAGAGTCCATTCCCACTGCGGCTGCGGTGGACAGGAGCTCTTCTTGGTGTCCTAGGGGGTCCCATTTCCCCCACCGTCAATGTTCACACCCTCAGGATGGTTTGGTCCACAGAATAGAGAGAAGGGGCCATGGAAGGGTAGACGTGGAGAAGGGAGTGGCAGGACCCAGAGGCACAGGTAGGCAGTGGACTGCGCCACTAATTACCTGTGGCATGGAGAAGACGTAAACGGGAAGCCGGAGGAAAGAAAGTAACTGTGAACACTGAAATGAGCTGGACCTTGAGACTCACATGGTTTGGCGGGTAAAGAGGCTGGAAAGCTGGAAGCACTGGGAGGCGATTGCCTGGGAGGCGAGGTTCAGGGCCGGACTCAGAGCTGGAACAAAGAGAGACAAGGGAGTTAGGACAGAGTATTCCTGCCTTCCAGGCCCGACCCTTCTCTCCCTTTCCCAAGTCCAAGCCTACCAGTCAAAGCCGCTGGGTTCAGGGCCCCCAAAGGAACTGCTCCATTCAGTTGCAAGGCAGCAGCCTGGGCAGCAGCCGCGGTGGTCGGCAGCTGGATTCCAGAGCCTCAGAGGAAAAGATGAGGTGGGGTTAAGTCCTAACCCCTGATATAAAATTCAACACCATGTTCTTCACTCTGCAGAGAAGCCCTACCTTCTGCGAATTTGGCCATTAGCTGCAAACGTCCACCTGCTGATCCCAGATCCAGATCCTGGTCTCCATCAGGAAAAGTGATGTCTGTGCCACCATCCAGTCGCTCGGTCACATGGCCAACCCTCATAGGCCGACCAGCAAGCTCAAAGCCATTCAACTGTTCCAGGGCCCGGCGGGCACACTCAGAGTCAGAGAACTACGAGAAACCCAGGCCATATCAGGTACCTCCTGGTCACAGACATGCTCTCAAAGCCCCACTAATACTCTCTCGTCCTACTGTCCCTTGAAAATTGCATGCTCACTGTGGCTCACACTTTTCTTTCCCAGGGAATGTGACCTAAGATCCCCATGCCCCCAAATGGTTCTCTAAAAAAGACCTTTTCCAGCTGACTCAAGGGCAATCGCTTTTCAATCTCCAGCTCCACTGAGAACCTTAACAGTGCATCATCTGTAGGGAGCCCAGCCTGACAGGCTGTTTCACAAATGGGCATATCAAATGGAAGTAAGACAGGCTGAGATCCAAGGCTCCTGAGCTTTAATTTCAGCCCTCAGGACTAGTAAGTTTCAGTCCTTAGTCAAGAACCAGGAACGTGGAACTCCAGAGCCCAGCCTCAGGAAGGCGCACACCCTGGTACCGAGAGCGAGACGGCACCCCCACTCCCACCCAGCCCCAGTGCTGCTGACTCTGGCCCACTGGCCAGAAGGCCTCCACTCTCTCGTGCCTTCCAGCAGCAGCACTAGCAGCAGCCTGGCATAAAGAGGATTCCCAGTCTGCTGTTTATGTGTCAAGGGTGTTGACCTAAAAGGCAGCAACACAAGGGCAAAAAGGCCCCACAGAAGCCTTTCTGCATCTGAGTCACACAGGGAGCTAGAAAAGGTACTTGCCACCATGAACACCACAGCTGGCTTTATTTACTCTGGTATTACCTGTCCTAGGGCCTGGCATGTGGTACCGACAGTTCCTAGGCAGGTGGTGTAGGTGGCTTGCTTTTACCAGATACTTCTGAGATGAGCAATTCCCACGGTAGAACACAACCTACCTCCCCTCTGCCCTGCAGGCAACTGGGGGGGGGTGTATGCTGCCTAGATTGAGCCCAGAAAATATCAGCTTCTATTAGACTTTGTGGCTGGCAGCCAGTCCTAGCCTGGAGTCACATGGGGCTGGAAGAACCAGTTATGGGAATTGGAAACAATTTTGTTGGAGTGTCAGGAAAAGGTGAGACTTGCCCACTATTAGGTGGCCTTACTGTTTTCCCTATAGTGGTATTTAAATATAAAGATATTTCTCAATGGGGAAACTGCTTCAAACTGGGTAGGACCAGAGAGAAGTATATACCTTCTTATTCCCACCCCATCATGAAAATATACCAATTCTATAAAGCATATCTATAAAGGCCCGTACCTAACCTCCCTCATGCCCCCAACCTCTTAGCTGCAGCCTGGAATCGTCACTATTACCCAGAGAGCAAGCTGTAGCACCAAGGAAGCTGGCTGACCTCCTGGACACCCCATACCAGTGCCACTGACAGAGTATAGGAGCAAAACCATGATCTCAAGCAATGCACTCATCTCAAAGGGCAGAAGGCTAGTCCAAGCTTCAGGCACCAGGGTTTATGGGTCATTTAGACAGTTCCTATGGGAGGAGGATGAAGCTAAGCTGCAAAATCAGACACATGGACAAAGCTAAACTAAAATTAAAAAGTTGAAGACTAGAGACTCACCGTAATAAAACCATAACCTTTAGAGCGGCCTGTATCTGAGTCCTTCATCAGGACAATATTATCAATCTGCAGAATAGAGAAAAACAATCAATAATCTTTTGGCTGAGCCACACCTTTGATCTTTCCTACCCAGACTGTTCTATATTTTTGGCCATGCGCAGCATGTGGCATGTGGGATCTTAGTTTCCCAACCAGGGATCGAACCTGCGCCCCCTGAAGTGGAAGCACGGAGTCTTAACCACTGGACCGCCAGGGAAGTCCCCGACCCAGATTGTTCTAAATACCTCTAAGTTTCTAACCAACCCATTACAGCTCTCCAAATCATTTTAAAAATGAGATAAAGCCCATCTCTTTCCCAAACACTTTTTCTGACTCATCTTATTTCATATGGACCCCATTATTTGATTTCATGGTGCCTAATTTGTCTCCTGAGCAGTATGAATACAGAGATGGAGCCCAACTCCTCCAGCATGGACCCACATGGCCATCGTTAAACACGCAATGGGTTAATCACGGTCAGACAGAACGAGAAAGTACACTCGCCCTCCCCACTTTTTCCGATTCCCTTCAGAGGTTTCCCTCACTTTCTACTCACTTTGCCAAAGGGCTCAAAGATGCCCCGGAGCATGTCCTCGGTGATATTGAAGTGCAGGGAGCCCACGTAGAGGCGCATTGGTCCACCACTGCCCTTCTGCAGGTTGTTGGCCATGGCTGCCAGTCGGTTTTTCTCAGCCTGTGGAAGAAGGAAATGATGATGGGTCATGCCCCACACCTACCACCATCATCTCCATCTTCTCATGTCCATTTCTCAGGCTGCTCACCTGTGAGGCCTGTACAATGATAGGCACTCCCAGCAGCCGCTGTCCCGTCAGCCCAATGGCCAGTGGCACAGACTGGATCTCACAGAATTCCACATAGGCAATGCCCTTAGAACGACGTGAGTTCCGATCTGAGATGATACGTACATCTCGAACCTATCCAGGGCAAAAAGGAAATCCTGAGTTGGGCATAAAGGGGGATGGATAGAAGACAGGCTTCTCAGAGACAACTAAGAGAGGGAAGAGGGTTACCTTGCCAACAGCCGAGAAAAAGTCCTCCAGGTCTCGAGGCCGAATGCGGGCAGCTAACTGCATACAGAACACCGTGCGGGCGTCCCGCTCCTCAGGACTCAGATTATCAACTGGCTCCCTAAAGAGTGAGCAAAATCGTCGAGACCCTCCCTCCCAGTACTTGGTCATCATTCTTCAGCTACCCTCAAGTACTACACATTCCTGTGGTTTGGCTCAAACCGCTTTTTATTCATAACTCACAATCCCTAAAAGAATGCTCATTGTCAACTCACCTGACTGGGCTCTTCTCCCGGAAATGAGGACTCTTACTGTGTCCGTATCTACGCCTACGGAACAGAGAACAACCAAACTGAAAACCGTGTCACCCACCTTTATCCACACTGGCCCAGTGCTGGGTCTTCCACCATGAGAAAACCAGATTACAGCACCTCATCGCACATGCGAATTCTGAGTATCACCCCTCCAGTAACTGGGTCTCCTGCCTATCCCAAAACACAATACAGAGGTGATCTTATAAGCAAAAGGTGATACCCAGTGGCAAGTGGTGGACTCCTGTAGCGCACACGATCCTCACGACGTCGGTCTCGACTTCGTGACTCACTACTATGTCGACGATCCCAGCTACGGCTGCGGTGACGACGCTGCCGATCTCGACTCCGGCTCCGACTGCTTCTCCGCCTATGACGGTCTCGACTACGACTGTGGACGGCAATAACTATTAAGCTCCTTAAAGAACAAACCAACCTTTCTGGCCTTTAATGTATAGCTTTCCCTGGTATCTTTCCACTTATAATTCTCAAAACCCAAGCGGCCCCAGAATGACTGACCTGCGTTTTCTATCCCTGCTTTTACTATGGCTCCGACTCCTCTTCTTCCTGTGAAAGAGAGCATAAACTCTTACTACTGAGGTTTCATCACCTCTCCCAAGGATAAGAAATGACACTAAAGCAAGGGTGAAACAGAAAGCAGTGAAAGACCAAAGCCTAGAAGACAATATGGCAGAAGTTCACAGCAATGGCATGACATCAGTTTACACAGAGCCCTGAATGCTGTCAGGCATCTAAAATGGCCATTTTCCCCCCACAAAACCAAGCAAAAGCTCATGCTTCCAAATCAGAGATCCTCTTGCTATTTTACTCAAGTGAAATACTACATCAACGCTAGGACTGATCCACAAGTCTATCCACAAATGTACACTGGCAAGCGAAGACTAGAAAATCATTAACCCAGGTCACCATTATTCCCATGACCCAGCGGAGCCATTACTAAAAGTCAGAAGTCTTACCAGCAACCACCTCCCTGTTCTGGCTGTTTCTATAACGGACACAGCTGCTTCCCTTCCTCAAGCTGCCAACCCACTTTTCTCAGGCCACACTCACCTGCTTGCCTCCCCACTGGCGCTGCTCCCACTGGTGCCACTGCCACTGCTGCCGGTACAGCTGGTGCTGTTGGTGGTGTTACTAGGGCTCTCCTTTTCAACCTCGTTAGTCTGCTGCTCATCCTGAGGGGTTCGCCAGGAAAATGACAAAAGGTACCAGGTGGCAGACACACAGATTCCATTGGGCAAAGAAAGAAGTGGACAAGGAAGAAAGCTCATGAAATCGAAGCTCTCAATCATCTAAACAGTTTCTAAGCACCTGGATCTCCTAACAAAAAGAATAAGAGAAAAAGGAAGGAAACTACCCAAAAAGAAGAAATCAGATTTTGAAGTCAAACCTTTAGCTACCCCAACATCTGTTCCACTAATATCCATTTCCCTGGAGAGTGAGAAATGAGTTATGTCTGAGATACACTGACCTTCTACTGTGTCACTGAGAGCTGTGAGCAAAGCACTGGTTCCCACCACAACTTCACATCCCCCCCACCCCCAGTTTTTGGGGCCCTTTCTGTAAGCATGGCCGAGTATCGGCCTCCAGCAGAGCTTACTAAAAGATTACGCCTTGAGCTTCCCTGGTGGTGCAGTGGTTGAGAGTCCGCCTGCCGATGCAGGGGACACGGGTTCGTGCCCCGGTCCGGGAGGATCCCACATGCCGCGGAGCGGCTGGGCCCGTGAGCCGTGGCCGCTGAGCCTGCGCGTCCGGAGCCTGTGCTCCGCAGCGGGAGAGGCCACAACAGTGAGAGGCCCG